TATAACGGACGGTATAAGCTAAAATTATCTAATTATCTATTTCAGTTAATGTTGCAGATTGCGTTGTTCCTTAATCTTCAAATTGGATCAGGCTTATTATTTTTTGCAGACTGTTAGAGCAATTTTATAAAAGCAAGCTTGAACTTTCGATTATGTCAAATAGAATTTCCGATGCAGGAGCTCCCAAAGGATCTACAAAGCGAAAGTATGTTTCGATGTCCATCAAACAAAAAGTGGAATTGCTGCAAAAAATGGATAAAGGCATGAAGAAAGTGACGGAGAGGTGATTTGTTTCTCTAACCTTTCCGAAATCTGTTTATCAATTTCACACCTGCTCTGGGGGGGGGGCAGAACGCCGTGGGCGCAATGAACTGGAAGTTGACCTGTCAGCACTATCCTTATCTTCAGGGCAGATGTTTTTATTTTATTCGGCTTAATAATTCCTCACTAAATGTAGTGTTTCATCTCGATGTCCTCCTGTATTTGATATGATTTAAATCAATTTCCTCGTCATCATTATAAATATCACGAATACACATCAAATAGTGAAGAAAGTGACACGAGGTTATTGAAAATGAAAAAATTTCGATTGATAAATTAGTCGGTATTCTCAACACAGCAATTATAGGACTTGAACAGCAGAACTTTGTAACTGAACAGAAATTATGTCTGTTTATAGAATTAAAGAGAAGTATTATCACATAAAATGAAGCAACTTAAACAACTTACATTGAAAGAAATGTTTAATAGAGTAAACAAATAAATATTAAGCTTTTTTTTTTTTTTTTTTTTGTAAATTTTGATACCCTTTAGATCATAATTGTTCTTTATTTCATAAATTACGGTTTCGTATTTTTAATTTTATAATTTCTGCATGCCATCTTACCAGATTTAAACTGATGATCTATAATCAGGAAAAATCAATAATCCAGAATCCCCGAAGTCCCGACGAGTCTGGATTAATGACTTTTGACTGTAATTATAATAAAAAATGTTCATGCTTAGGACTTAAGATAGTTTTTCTGATGGATTATAAATTTCAGCAAGGCTATCTATGCATATATACGAATTTTTTGTAACTTTCATAAAAACTGCTCTAGTTTTAAAAGCTTGCATGGGATTTTAAATTGTTTTAATTTTGCATTTTTTTTTCGTAAGGCAAAAGAAGTTATTTGCCAGTTGGCAATTTTTCACCAGATTTGTATCTCAAGGGCATATTCTTGACAGATATTTAATTACTATTTGAATTCTTTCTCTTTATTGAACCCAAAACTACATACTCTCCATTTCACTTTGTGTATTCTTTTGTTATGCATTGTGAAATTTTCAACATTTTGGCAACTTGAGGATCAATTTTTTGATGTATTACATGCTCTGCCATTAGTCACTACGTGGGAAAGGAGGGATGCTCCAAGGAAGACTTTTTAAGGGAAACTGGCTCATATCCATGTTTACGCATGGGGAAACCAAGAAAACGCCCATGCAGACAACCCGTTCAATGAGGCTCGAACTCCAGACCAAACTACCAGTGTTAAACGGCTCACTCAGCCACTGGTGGACAAATGGACACTGGTCTACAAAAATTTTGATTTGATGAATTGGTTTACAAACTTTTTATTTAGTTTTTATTTTAACAAATGTGCTAATTTTGTTACGAGGTCATCAAAATAATGATAAAATTATAATCAAAATAATGTTAAAATTAGTTTTTTTAGAAAAATGACAGTAAAATAAAATATTTTTAGTTTCAGCTATCCAGTTTTAAAATGTCTTTACCTTTCATTTTGGTGATTTGTGACCATCTTGATTCTGAAATGTAAAGATGTTATAAAGTAGAATGTTACACACATCTTATAAAGTAGAATTTCTGATTTACTTCTTAGCAAAAAAACTTCTGGAATTATATTAATTTTGTTTGCATAATATTTTATGATAAGTGTTTTTCTGTTTGTAATTCCTTCAAAATATTCATGTGTTTGTTAGCTTTGTCTGTAAAATTCATTTTATGCTCCTTTCTTTTTTAAAATGTGTTTAAAAAATCTTTTGATTTTTATTATTCTCACAAAGTTATATATATATTAATGGCTAAAAATTTAGAAGTCCATGACAAGATGAAAAAAGTATTAATGGTATATTAACACACCGGAAGGTTGCGATGAGTTTCTCATTGTTTGGAAACTCTTTGGGAAAAGTTACGGTAAGTGACGACAAAGTTATTCGAGTTTCCTATGGTGCTTTCATATTATTGCAGACACCATTATTTAAACGGTACAAGGAGCTGTCTTTAACAGAGTGTACCAAAATAGCAACCTTACCCCAAGCTTTTCTCATGATGGGCTCACTACACTAGGCCTTGTGCATATTGCTAAATGATTGTTCAGTGTCTTGTGAAGAGCTCTGAATAGGGATACGGGATGCAATTCATTAATAATTGGAGTCTTGGCACTGTTAAATTAAAAGGGGGGGTGTAATAGTAAAGAAATACTTTTCTACTTCTCTTTGTCTTGACACATTTTTTGTTTTTTATATTTTTGTTTTATTTTTCTTTTATTATTTACTGTTAAAGTATGGAATATTGCAAATTATTTCTGATAGTGTCACATGAATAGAATCCATAGAAAGGAATTTCTCTGTTAATAAAGATATCGAAAATAGTTTAGTAGATTCATGTAATTTACACCACATATTAAATTTTTTCATAAAATATTGTAGAATTCTTAATATTGAAAGCATTAAAGAAATAATATTAGCAACTTTTGCATATTCTTGTGTAGCTTTTCGAAGCCGCAGAAATTTGTAATTAAATCTGAAAATTCAAAGAGGAAAATTATTGAGGAAAAAACTGATTACACAAAACAAAAGAAAATTCTTTTTGAAAGAAATATTGTTGAAAATATTAACAAATTGAGCAGATACTTTACAGATAATGCAAAGACTAATAGGAAGGCTAATGAGATTAGATTTTTTAAGGGGGAAAAAATTAAAACTACTACTACTCCAAAATAATTTGGAGTAGGAGTAGTAGTTTTAATTTTTAAGGAAAAGGCACAAATAATTGGTAATCTTTTAATAATTTCTGTAACATCATTTAAAAAACTAATGTCACAAAAATTATATTACTAGTTGTCCATTAGTTTTAAACTGCAAAATTTATCAGATTGTGATGATGTTAGGTAATTCTTTTTTTTTAAGGAATAGCTTTAAAATATAAAAGGATTTCCTAGTAGTGACATGTAAATCATTTCTAAAATCTCATGTAATCCATCCCTTTGTTGCCTATTCCAAAAGGTCTTGCTTATCCTTCCTGTCAGCCTGAAAATCACCAGAAAGTGATCGGAGTCAACATTGCCTCCAAGATAACTGCGGGCATCTAAAAGGCACTTTTGGTGTCTTAGATCTACCAGGAAATGATCAATCTGATTTATTGATTTTCCATCTTGGGAGTACCATGTAACTATATATATTTCTATGTTCAAAGAAGGTAACTCCTATAATAAGTTCATTTGCAAAATCATTAAGTCTTAGGCAATTATCACTACTTTCCTCATGTGAACTGTGATTATCTATGGAGTTTCCCACTAATCTCATGCCAATATTTGCATTAAAGTCACCAATAATCAATTTTACATCATTTGAGCGATATTTATCATAGGAGTCTTCGAGTTTATCTTAAAACTCATAATTAATAGTATTACATTTCTTCTCAGTAGGTGCATGTATGCTGATAATACTAATATTTTGAGGAAAAGTTCAAATCCGCACTTTACAGATCCTTTTATTTATAGGTTTGAAGACTATGGCTTTGTCTCCAATTTTCCTTGTTACTACTAATCCTACCCCAAAGCAGTGCTGCTTATCCTGACAGCTGCATAAAACACTGTGTCTTCTTTTATCCAAAATTCCTTGGCCAAGCCATCTGACCTCCTGATTTTCCAAAAATGTGTAATTTATAATTCCTAAACATATCAATCAGATATTTAAGGGTGGACACACATTCCAAGTGCCAGTATGCAAGTCTGTTGTTGTTTTCCATGTCCTCTGGGTGGTATCTGTCCATGATTTAGCCTTTGAGATTTCTGAACTGGAATTTTTTTACATGTCCAACCTTCAACCTTAAGGACTAGTCCCCTGATATAATCTCCAGGGGCAGGGTGCCCAGCTATATCCCTGGACACTGGGTACCCATTTTAGTCGTCTCTTACAAGATGCAGAGCTACATTGGGACTATCCTTTCACACCTGGTCACTACATGGGTGCCTAAAATTATTACAAGTGCAAGATGTCAGCATTTCAAAAAATTATAATCATAATGTAATGTTTATGTTTTCAAAACGTTTAGGGTTATTTCCAAACTTGTTTTTACAGCTATATCAAAACATCAGATTGTGTTTAATAATAATGCATCTTGCATACTTTTATTTCATTCATAGAATGGTATTGTGAAGTCGATTATATAGATAATTGCTGTAATTTATTCAGTTTTGTCTGCTAAGGGCCCTTTAAGGTCCTAATTTTCATTTAAAGAAAGGTTCATGGGCTCTGTCTGAAGGCTTTTTGCCATGACAGCAAGTCACAAAAATGAAAGTTTAAAATTATTTGTCTTTTATTTATTATTATGAGGATTAGCAGGTAGGGTGCATTTTGAAATTATTATTCACATTATACATAATTCTAAAAATTAAGCTACCGATTGTTAAACGACATATCATATTGTGATACTTGTTTTGTTTTTAATTATGTTTAAAAATAAAACTGCTATATATTACAATGTGAACTGAATTTAGTGGGTCAAAGAACTGTAAATGGCTTATTAGCCGAAGTTTGACTATGTGTACTACATGTTAAAAAATTAATATTAAATTGTCTCGTAAGATGTGTGTGTAAAATAGTTGAGAGTGTTTTTGAACAACAAATAACCTTTCTTGAAAAAAGATTTTTGTAATAAATAATTTATAAGTTATTAATAATTAAAAAAAATGTAGGTTTAAGAGGGGAGGATATGTAAATCTAAAAATATCTCTTTAAGTAGTCATCTGTTTTTATGCTTGTATGATCATGTTATATTTCAGGTACTTGTTGAAAATGACCCTGAGAAAAGTGACATTATTAACTTGTTTTTAGGTATTTTTAGAGGATCCTCACTTTTGGCAGCATCAGTCACTCCTTGGCATTATATTGATGAATATAATATGAGCCTTCCTGTGAACCCATCTATAAGGCTACTGCAGTATTACCAGAACAATGGAATTTTGAAGGATTTTAATCAGTTCTATTTAAATCTCACAAAAGCAAATGATTTAAATAAAACTGCTAAGGTAATGCAGTTTTTTTTTTTTTTTTTTTTTTTTTTTTTGAGACTGTGTATCTATGTATCACTGTTATTTATGTTAATGGTAATGTAACTAAGTACACTTCAAAACCTTTACACATCATCAAAATTCTTCTTATTTATGATAATACTATATTGTCTGGAGTTGCAATTCCCAGTTAGACCTAAACTTTTACCATCTGTTTCGCTGATCAATAAGCTTTAGAGGGCGAATATTTGCATTCTTTTCTTTGTTTAAATGAAAGAGCAATTGCTTGGAAGTATTGTGAAAAGAGAAATTCCTTTTGCAAACTAAGGTGAAGTCATCTTATTTTGTATGTTTCACCGACATCTGATTTAACCAGTTTGCCGTCCTGGAAAACGCAAATGTTTCTTACCATTTTTCTCCTCCAAAGATAAATTTTTTTTTCGTCCAAAACTGGGCTCAGAATATTTCTTTCCCCCCTTTCACCAGCTGTGAAGATTGATTTAGAAGTTGTATTCAAATCAACTTGACCGTGTATTTGTCACACTCAAGGATGCTGAATAAGGATGCCCTAATGAAGACCATAAAACACAAAGACTGGTGTATAAATTACATCAGATATTTTTTGCTTTGACCTCACTTCTTGTACCCAACTCCATATCTATTGCAATCTATTTACAATGTAAATGCAATTTTAAATGACAAGTAAAAGCTTTGTTCATTGAAGTATAAATAAGTTCATTAGCTACTATTGCTTATTTGAAATATCCTTAATTTTGTTTTATCATTTTCTTGATGCACTGTAACAAAAATAACGATGGAGTTATTTCCCGTATATGTTTATATATTTAATTAAAAATTTAGTTTCTTTATATGAAAAAAAATTTCTCCTTTAGCTTAGATATTTAAGGTTCTTATTTAAAATTACAATTATTTAATTTATTTAGAGTTGTTTTTAAGCTTATTGTACTTTTTGTACAGCAAAGAAAGTTTTAATTATGTGAAGTGCCAATTTCAAAGAGTAAGAAGGTAGTAAGTGTTTGTAGTTGTGCTTGTTAAATATTTTTCTAGAGAAGTGACAATTCTTTTTTCAAATTGGACTGAAAATTCAACATTTATTTGTAATAAAAAAAAAATTAAGTGGAAAATTTTTTAATTTTTAATATTGTAATTGTTGCTACTATCTTTTAATTCAGTTAACACGTTAAAGGCGGGAGTCGTAGTACTATGATTTATCTTGACTGTAGCTTAAAGGCAGGAGTCGTAGTACTACGATTTATCTCGATTGTCGCTTAAAGGCGGGAGTTGTAGTACTACGATTTATCTCGACTGTAGCTTAAAGGGAGTCGTAGTAATACGATTTATCTTAACTGCAGCTTAAAGGCGGGAATTGTATTAGTATGGTTTATGATTTGCAACCACATTGCGCAATCTATGCGCCACTTTACATTTGTATTTAGAACAATACATGTAAACCGAGGAGTTGAACATGAATTAATAAGTTGCAAAGTAGACAGTCAATTTTCGGAGAAAAGGAGACGTGTTATTACAAATTTGGCAGTCAAAGAGAGAAGTGAAGATGATTTCGAATTGAAGATTGGCACACAAATACAAAAATAATGAAACCAAAATGTGTAATAGAATACAACTATATGAAAGGTGTTGATAGGGCAGACCAGTACCTTTCATATTACTCAATATTGCGGAAAACAAGAAAGTGGACCAAGCAGGCTGTAATGTATTTGTTAAATTGTGCATTTTTCAATTCCTATTTAGTATATAACATGCATAATAATAGTAGCTTGGCGTATAAAAATATTTGTCAGAATTATCACGCTGTCTTATAACTGACAAAAAAACCGAAGATCTGGAATTGATGGACATTGAAGAGCCACAACCTGGTACATCGAACTCGGCACCACGGACTCCATGATATAAAATTGATCCGCCTGGACGTCTTTCGCTAGACATAAAAAAGCATGAATTAATTCAGATAGAAAATAAAGGCAAAAAGCTAAATGCCCAACGAAACTGCGTAGTTTGTGCGGCACATTAAAAAAAGAAAGTTGACTTGTTTCAAATGTGAGTTTTGCAATGCACCTACACCATGGCGAGTGTTATCAATATTATCACACTCATAAAAAATACTAGATTCTTCTCATAAATATGCACTTTAAAAAATTTTTTGTAATTAGTGTTTAGTTTTTTTAAATTTCTTGTAGTTTTAAGAGTTTAAATAAACTTTTTTAAGTCTAAATTTTTTTTTATGATTACATAAAATATCGCCTGCTCTAGAAAGGAAAACTAGGCAGGGCAGTCGCCGCGTTACCTAGTATACTTTTGTCAAGATCCCCCGCCTTTAATGTGTTAATATTTCCTTTTTCTTATTCTAGCCTCATAAAAGTAAGTGGCTTCAAGAATTGTATCTTCCAAGACTATCCTCATAAAAACTTTTCAGTGACTTTAAAATTAGATTAGGTGAACTTAAATACTTATCTAAACTTATTTCTTTAGGTTTTGATAAATGTAGTTTAAAAATATGATATATATTTTTGTATATTTTAAATGATATTATAATATATAAAATCAAGTTTTTCACTTTGTATTTAGAATTTAAATACATTAAATTTTTTAATACTAAATTTTAACTGTTAACATAAGTCTAACATAAGTATTAAATAAATAATGAGAACATCATATCAAATATTATAAATTGTAAATTACCAGAACTGTATTCTTATTTACATATTTGTATACGACTTAACAATGAAGGTATAACTAGTTCTACGTAAAGAAATTAAAATTTAACTTGCAAAATAAATTTTTGCAAAGATATTTTATGAGGTTTGTTTATGAAATGTGATTGCTAATTAATTTTAAGATTTCTACAATGTAAATGAAAAATTTATAAAATTTTGTATTTTGCAAATGCATTTTATTTTTTTGAAAATGAATGTATACTGGCCATTTCTACCACTTGTTATTATATAAATCTGTCTAGAAAATGGCAGACATCTATTCTCAAACAAAAAAGTACATATTGTCGAAAATGTTTTGTGCAAAATATATTATACATTTAGGAAAAAAACTAAAAGAAACAATAGAGCAATCCAAATTTCATATATTACTATTTTTTTTTTTTTTTTTGTTGGAAATTCTGAGACTTTTAATGCTATAGCTTTCTCAATTAGTGAGATTTAAAAAGACAAAATTATTGATTGAAAAGTAAAATATTAATAATTCAAATTTTGAAAAATGAATTTCGAAAATTTCAGTTCAGCAAAGTCATTTTGTAATTGCCGCAACATAGTCATAATGAAATTTAAAGCGAATAATATTTCCATCTGTGCAGTTAAGGTGATAAAATAAAATGCATGTGTTAGGTTTTAACGTTTCAAAGCAATTCATAGTTCCGAGAATATTAAACAGATTATATCCTCAGGGAATCATTAGGAGTTGAAAAGATATTTAAAACCATCAAACCTCTTTGTTCATTAATGAAAGAGAGGAATTTGTTGTGGATCTTACGAGATGTGTTGAGGAGGAATCCACTTGGAGAAAATGATGTTTGGAAATGCATGAATTAGTAGTTGTAGTAAAAGAAGTTGCAGGCATGGTCTAATGTTAACACAGGGTATTTACAAATGAATAGTGCAGTTTTAAAAATTAATATGTTGATGAATTTACCTTACCTGTGTAAAATCTACATTGCATCGGAAACCGTCCAGATTCTCATGTGCTACCTGCTGTTTGCTGGCCATGCTTATTACACAGCCACAATGTCAGTTTTCCAAAAAGGCATGGCACCACAACAGGAAAAGCTTTTCAGTGTGCTTCATTTGAGGTGTCCAGATCTCTGGTTTCAGTGCAGTGAGAGTTTCATGCACATTTTCTGTGCAGTGTCTCACGAGAAAGTGCATGGCCCATTTTTCTTTGAACAAAGAACTGTGATTGGTGGCTCATTTCTAGACATGTTGGAAATTCGGTTGTTACCCTTGCTGATGACCAATTATTACATTTTGCAACTGTATGGTGCTCTGACCCATTTTTACGGGAATGTATGAGAGCTTCTTAATCATGTTCATCACCAACACTGGATTGGATGTGCTGCAACAGCAGACAACAACCTTCTTCCCTGGCCACCCCACTCATCAGATTGAACACCATGAGATTTCTTTTTTTTGGGGGGGGGACTGAGTTTATGTATCACCAATGCTGTGTACCTTGAGAAGTTTGTGATCAGATAAAGCATGCACTGCAGACCGTCATGGCAGATATGCTATAAGAATTTAATTACCATGTAGATATGTGTCAAGTAATCAATGGCGCACATATTGAAGGATTATGATGAATGCATCAAAAACTTGGTTAGTTGTTGCTGCTTATGCTGTAAGGTTTGCCTGCATAAAATAATACATTGATTTATTATTAATTTTTAAAACTGCACCATTCATTTATAAGCACTCTGTATTTCTTTATTATTCTCATTGACCTACACTTTTGAACCAACAATGAAGTAGCTCAATAAGGGCGTCTGTTTAGAACATTAAAATTTTTTATGTTGCATTAAGAAGAGAAACATGGAGGGAATGCGATTATCTTTGAAAGTTGGGTTCAAAGAGAGTTTAGTTTCAATTTACAATGGACCCATATTATGTTTCAGTTTGCAAAATTTCATCCGTAGCATCATGCAACTTTCATATAGCATGGATTAATTTATAAATGACACTGGAGAGATCTGTTATGGGCAGAAAATATCGAAATTAAAAAATTAGAGTAAAGAGGCTATTGCAGATTTAAGTTATAATTTTGATTTGCATATTTTTTATCTTACATACATGACATGGGTTAGTTATGAAATGATGTAGTTTAGAGAGTTTTATTTTAAGCAGTTATTATTTTTTCAAGTGAAATATTTATTTCAGCTCATGACTTGTGCAGCAATATCTAAAAAAATTTTTTTCTATTAGTAATTGAAGCCAAAGAGCCTGGTAACCTTTTATGTTGACATTACACTTCCCATTGATTCCCATTGGCTTCAGCTGATTGTGTTGCAAAGTGTTGAGGAGAAATTTAACAGAGATTCCTTTCCATAGGCAAAAAATAGATTTTGTAAATGACAGTCATAGGCCAAAAGATTACATTCAGTGCTGTTTGAATTGAGAATAACTGATTTGTTATAAGCCCAGGACTGCTGCTGGAGCTGGTGTCCACACCTGGTAAGAGAATTTTGGAAATACGAAATTTTCAGAATTTAGATAAGTGCCAAGCAACAAAATTAAGGATGGCCAAATCTTTAGGGATGGCACTGGGATGCAAAATTTAGAAGCGGCAAAATTTTTAGAATTTAGGGGAGTTCTTGGCAGCAGAATTTAAGATCTGCAGAGGCTGCACAAAGCCACAAAATCTCTACTGGTAGCCCTGGATAAACCTTAATTTAGGACTTATATTTATTTGGAGCTCAGATAAGTATGTGCAGGAAATAGGCATAAGTATAATGAATAACTACTGTGCTAAAAGAAAGACAAAATAAAGCAAAACAAACCTGTATTAGTTGTCAATCTCTTGATACATCGCCTATAGGGTATAGATACTTTGATACTTAATTTACTGTGGACACTAGCTAAGCGTGGTGGTGATAGCCGAAAATGTGAAGTGTTCGGAAATTTTACTGTTAATGGAATTTGTGGAGAAATATGCAGAAGTGGAAATAAATGAAGATGATGTAACAGATGTTTTTCTCTATGATGACAGTGCCCCAATAATCAATCAGGTAACAGATGACAAAGTCCGTAATATGTTTCTAAATATTGCTAACGGTAGTGAAGAGGTTACTTCCTTCACTACTGAAAGTGACTTTCTTCACTTTTTTTGTGTGTGTGAGAACTCACACACACACACACACAAAAAAAAAAAAAATCGATTGACAGTTTAATGGAGATTCAAACAGCAATTATATGACTTGAATAAAGGAATTTTGTAACTAAACAAGAGATTATACCTATCTATAAATTAAGGTATTTCTTTGTTTTTTTTTTTTTTTTGTAACTTGATTTCCTTAAGGTCATAAATGTTTCATTTATTTCATAAAGCACTGTTACATATTTTGAATTTTATAGTTTCTACATGTCATCTTACTAGATTTAAACTGATCTAATATCCAGAAAAATACCAAATCCGAAATCGCCTAAATCCTGACAATTCTGGATCTCAGAGTTTGTACTGTACTGTTAACATGTTGACTGCCCTGTCATTGGTGGTGGCTCTTGACTTGGCTACAGCACCGTGGGGGTCACTGGCAATGCAACCAATAGTAAAATTACATAATTAGAGTAAATATCGATACTGATAAATTTTTAAATACCATTATTACTATTATAGTTTGGAGAATGGTCCCTAATGGTCCAAATACCCAAAAATGGTCTATAGTGCCTCGGGGTCACCTGTGATAGCTACCAGGAAAAATGCATTAAACACAATTATGGAACTCATCTTATCTTTTGTGGATAGTATTTCAACATAATATACATTGCATAATAAAAAAATCATGTTGGCGCTATTGGCAAACCATGTAAAACGTGTCAGCGTGTTAATGTGATGCATGTCAAGATGTAATAGCCATACCTTTAGATGTGTAGTATTTAGTTATTCAGTTTCCATAAAAATTGTAGCTTCATATTTCCACCACCCCTCTATGTTAATGTAATAGTCAACTTTGTACATTTTCAGAATATCGTAGAATAAGATTTTTTTTTTACTACAGTCAAAAGTCGTTAATTCGGACACCCATAATCTGGAATGATCTATAATCCGGACCTCAAAGCTACAAACTTTCTGCGCATGCGTCGCGTTGACCTTTACCGCTGCTAATTTGCGTGTGCGCGTGCGCAAAATACGTTTACGAATGCGCGTTTAATGTATAACGGATGGGATAAGCTAAGCTAAAATTATCTAATTATCTATTTCAGTAATGTTGTAGATTGCGTTGTTCCTTAATCTTCGAATTGGATCCGGATTATTATTTTTTGCAGACTGTTAGAGCAATTTTATAAAAGTAAGCTTGAACTTTCGATTATGTCAAATAGAATTTCCGATATATATTTACTAATATGTAAAGGATATACAAAGCGAAAGTATCTTTCGGAGTCCATTAAACAAAAAGTGGAATTGCTGCAAAAAATGGATAAAGTTTATCTAAACTTTAACGTTTGTTTATCTAAACTTTGTTTATCTTTAACGCCGCGGCGGCGTGCATTGAATTGGAAGTTGATCTGTCAGCACTATCCTTATCTTAAGGGCAGATGTTTTTATTTTATTTGGCTTATAATTGCTTACTCAATGTAGTATTTCATCTCGCCTTTGATATGATTTAAATCAAATGCCTCGTCATTATAATTCGCTTCCGATAGCGAAGAAAGTGACAGAGGTTACTGAAAACGAAAAAATTTCGATTGACAAATTAGTCGGTATTCTCGACACAGCAATTATAGGACTTGAAAAGCGGAACTTTGTAACTGAACAAGAAATTATGTCTGTTTATGGAATTAAAGAGAATGTATTATCACATAAAAACGAAGCAACTTAAACAACTTACATTGAAAAGAATGTTTAATAAAGTAAACAAATAAATATTAAGCTTTTCTTTTTTTGTAAATTTTGATACCCTTTAGATCATAATTGTTCTTTATTTCATAAATTACGGTTTCATATTTTTAATTTTATAATTTCTGCATGCCATCTCACCAGATTTAAACTGATGATCTATAATCCGGAAAAATCGATAATCCGGAATCGCCGAAGTCCCGATGAGTCCGGATTAACGACTTTTGACTGTATTCTTCATCTGCAGTAGTAGAAAAATTTCGGTATCACTGTTATTAGAGTTAAAAATTAAAAGTGCTTTGCAGTATTTACCATCTTGCAACTAAGCATGAAACAAGTGATAGAATTACTAGAAAGTAGTGATTTTAAGAGTTATGCAAGGCCTCTTGATGCTTGAAAATTTGAAGTTATTAGGTGTACAAATTGATCTGAAGTATGCATAATCAAGTAATCGAAATTTTATATTAAATTTATAGCTTTTATATGCAACATTGAGTTTGAACAGCAACTCGTAAAATGTAAAAACAGTGCATAATTGGACACCACTGATAATATAGTCTTGCAGAGTTGTATTCAATCGGATACTGCCTAGTTGCCTTGAGCTAAAAAGCATCAGCCTTGTATACAAACTTTATTGAAAGCATGAAATTCTTTGACAGAAAGATTGCCTGCAGCACAGTGCAGCTAAGAACGCTATTCTACTAAATTATAAAACATGAACAACTGTTGCCATTCACATAAACTCAATTGTAAAAATATAGCATGTTAACAGTAACAAGATTATTATAAAAATCATGATATAAAATAATTAAACCATGAGAAAATAAATAAGGCAAAAGGGGGGAAAAAAGAAAGAAAGAAATGCAAATATTAAAAATACACCGAACACTGTCAATTAAGTAGTATACTGCATTCTTTTTTTTTTTTTTTTCTTTTTCATGTTAACTGAGAAAAAGTGCTTTTGAAGCTATGGAGAATATTTATTTTATTTTGGGATTATGGCTTATAGCGTAGGAGGAAACGCTTTGTGCATTGCAAAGAGCAACTGAATTGTCTAAGTGGAGATAATAGCACCTAAATGTGTCAGTGGAGCTAAGCAGGCAACATTGCCGCACTTGTAAACAAATATTAAATTCGTGAAATAACAAAAGTTGGAGGATTAATTTCTGTAGAAAATTATATAATAATTTGGCCTCTTAAATGTGAGAAAAATTCTTTTCTGTTATATTAACAGAAATGTTCTTTTTTTCATTCTATGCTTTAAATCAAAATTTCAAACACTGTATCAGACTTCTAGTTTTGCAAATATACTAGTTAGATACAAATTAAAAAAAATCAAAATCAGTTGTTTAAATTCTAACATTATATTCCTATTGTCGTTTTATAAGATTGATTATCACTTGACTGTGAATTGGATGCATTTGAAGAAATTATTCAGGAATAATAAAGTATTAAATTGAGACCAAATAATGAAGACTGATATTTAAAGAGTACAACATATTTCATTATAAGGCTCAGTTGTTGTTTAATATGGAATTAATAATAAATTATATGGAATAAATAAACTAGAAGACAGTATGGTGCATGAATTAAACCATGTAGTTTTAAAACTTTTATGTATCTCATTGTGGTTATTATATGGTATCTTATTATAGGTATTATTTTTACTTATCTTATTATGGTTATATTATTGGTTATGTATAAAATTGTTAAAGTTTTATCCCCTTCCTTTCTTAGGGTCAGAACAACCTGTATGAACTGCTGTACTCATTTGCAAAATTTTATGGTGTTCAAGATTTATCCACAGAATCTCTTGTTAAAGTATACACAAGGCTGAAAACTGATCAGAATTTATATACTTCATTTTTTAATTTTTTAACTGCTGGGAAGGAAAGTGTTACTTGTGATAATTACTGTAAAATTGCTCAACTTTGTTCTATTGCTTGTACCAGTAGTGAACAATATACATTTTGTATGAAGAATTCTGATGGCAAAGAAAAGTTCCCTTGTTATGGCAATTTTGATCTTAGTTTCAAAGTAATATTTATGTATGCAGCTGTAATAATTATACCTATTGGAATTTTTGTGGGATTCTTTTTCTATTGTCACAGTAGATGGGCATTAAGAAAGGAACCATTATATGAACCTTTGATGAATATTCAATAGCAAATTTTTAGAATATCTATAAATATGATATATTTCTGATATTCTCAGAAAAGTGGAGAGAAATGATGTGCATGAATGATAATTTTCCCATCAGCATTGTTATGCACAATATTTTAGGTAACTGATCTGTTCCTATTAAAATATATGCCATTTGATCACTGTGATAATGTTACTTGGAAATAAGAACTTTTCCTTTCTTATTCTTTATTTTACTTTATACACCATGTCATTTTTCTTACAGTATCATATATTGTTGAATTTAAAATTCAAAAATAAATATACTGTTTCATAGTGTTCATTGTATTTGTAATTCCAAAATTCATTCAATCTTTTTATTTAAAGTACTGTAAATTTTTAAAATATCTGCAACTTATGACTTTTCATTGCTTATATTTTTAAAGAACTACCAGAGTTAAAATTGATGATGTAACAACTTCATTTATTCATTCAAATAGATAGCTTTTAATATTTTCACTGAGCATAAACTTGAAGTAAATGTGAATTTCTCTCCCTGAGATGGTTAAAAAAGTATTTGAAAGAAGTCTGATTTATAACAAAATCTAATTAAATGGTGGATTACTTTTTTCGCATAGTTACTTTTTTACAGGAAAGTTTATGAATTTCTGCTCAAGGGTAGACTTAATATCATCAACAGCAATAAGCGCTAAATTTCATGCACATGTCACTGCAGTTGATAGGTACAAATTAACTTAAATTTGATTAAACAATGTTATAAAGTTCATGCAGGTTCTGAGTTAAACTAATAAATATTTTGCTGACCAAATAACAGTTTAAACTGCATTAGTACTCTTCTCAGTTTAAAAAAAAAAGTGATAAAAAAGGAAATTAGCTTTGCTACAATTAAGGAAATCATAGGCGTCTATTAGTATCCAGTTTTAGAATGAATATCTGTGTTAAAGCATTCTCTTAAAATTAGTTTTTTTTTTACTGCTGTTAGATAACTTCTATCATGTATCAGGAAATAAGAGGTGTAGAGGATTATATCGGTTTTAGAATTATGCAAAATCATGATTTAAATTAGAAGTAATTTAAAATTCTGTATGCATTTCTTAGTAATATGGTTTCTCTCTTTGAGGAGTCTACCCTTGAATAAGGCAAGATGGATTCATGGCTTTATGAGGTTATCGCCAAATTTGAAGTTTTCCATCAGTGCAAAATAAGGTGTAGCGTGATTCATCCGCCATTACCTGTTTCTAATCTTCAGATATCCAGTGTCTTCATTCCCGACACCAGTGTGAACGAATTCTTGCATGTCGGGCAGAAATGAGTGTTTTCGTCACAGCACCGATTATGCATTCCTATTCTCTACAATTCTGTGCACAGGTTCGAGTTGAAATCTGATGGGAAGAGGCTTGGTTGATGAACAGTTGAAGTACAGTAGAGTCCCTGTTCCTGCATACAATTCGTTCAGAGACGCCGCCGATCACTCTGTGGGAAAACTATGCTCGAACCGCAGTTACGTCTTCCAGAGAAGAACTGTACGTTCTGATTCCACCTTTTAAAAAACCTTTGATATGGCTGCTTTTCACAACGCAGTAAGATTTGCTGCCTTCGAAATCGAGACTACTGCTAAATGGGCACCAACAATAAACTCTTTTTTCAAATGGTGAAAGATCTGTTGTTTTTCCCTTTTTACTTCATCAATCGTGAAAAGTACTCTTACACCTTGCTTATACTCGCATTCTAACCACTTGTAAGCCAAGTCATAAAAACAATTGCATTCTTCATCCCTAGCATGAATTCAAATGAAAATCTCAAAGGTTTCTAATTCATTGGCCAGTGTGTGTGTATAATACAGTGTTTTCCAATGCAAAAGCTTCTATTCATTTATGTGTTTTACTGCATTGGTCGCTTAGATGCACTTTTAAGGGGGGAACCAGAGCTCTTAAAAGCTTCTGTCACCCACAGAGTGAAACAGAATGAAAACGGTAAGTGCAGTCTTTACAAAATTATAGCCGCATACTTCTTTAGGCCTAAGTAGACAACGTACAACTTTTCTTACTGAAATTCCAACTTTAAAGTAGTGCTTTTTTTAAAATATCTCTTTACTGCCCATTACCTTAAAGTGACTACTTTAAAGCCGTCACTTTAAGGTAGTGTGCACTAAAGGATGATTTCCAACTTGCCTCGAGATATCGGCTAATTAAGTTAGAATAATTCGAAGAATTAAGTTTAAATGAAGTGTACCAAAAAATGTGCGTAGTTTAATTAATAGGACATTACAAGGACGTCATGTAGTGGTAGTTGTAGAGACATTAAGTTAATTGGAAAAGGTCGGAGAGATGAAAAATTAACAACTGCCTTCGAACCACGGACCTCTGAAATACCGGCTCAGTGTGCTGAAGGCTCGCTAGGAACCCCGAACCGCTACACCACGAAGGCTCGCTAGGAAGGTGGGAGAAATACCTTATATACTCCCTCTTTTAAAGGGCGACTGGGGTTTTTAGGGGACCCAATTTCCAAATCCTGGGTGAGAAGAATCATCATCCAACACCCTTTTAGTTCGGGTGCCACTGTAGAGACATTAGGTTAATTGGAAGCAGGCAAGATGAAAAATAGGCAACTGCCTTCACCGGTAATCAAACCACAGACCTCTGAAATACCGGCGCAGCGTGCAGACTACTACACCAAGAAGGTAGGAGAAATACTTTATATACTCCCCCTTTTAAAGGGCGACTGGGGTTTTAGGAGACCCAATCACCAAATCCTGGGTGGGGAGAAATCTCCATCCGCCACCCTTTTAGTTTGGGCGCCACTGTAGAGACATTAGGTTAATTGGAAAAGCCGGAGAGATGAAAAATTAGCAACCGCCTTCGCTGGGAATCGAACCACGGAGCTCTGAAATACCGGCTCAGTATGCTGACCACTACACCACGAAGGCTCACTAGGAAGGCGGGAGAAATACCTTCTAAAGTCATCAGCATTTGTTTTTCCCTAATAAACAGAACTTCGTAGATGGCTTCTTGAATCACTCAACTTTTGTCATAGGAGAAAATGAAAATTCGTATTTTGGGGCGTGCGTATTTGTAGCACATATCAATATGACAAGTAAATTGATAAGAAATAAAAATAGTTTTCGTGGATAGATACATCTGTAAGGTTTGGTTTGTTTTATTTTAATTATGACAAAGCACTCGAGGGATATCTGCCTAAAGGGAGGAATGCCTTTGTGGAGAAACAGCTTTGTATTTATATCACACATGGGGAAAATCACGAAAACGTTCGTGCTGCGAGCCCGTTCTTCTTGAATTGGACTCAGGTCGAACTACTGGTGTTCAGTGACTTTTACCACTTGGATACTGATGAGTCCATCAGTAAGGAATATGTATTTTTCCATTTGCAGGGCTAAATGCAATCTATTTTTTGTATTGCAATTTAATGAGTCTTCACCTTCGCACCAGCGTCCAAATGGGAAGATCGCTGCATACTGATAGTTTGACCCGGGCTCAGATCACAGCGAACGGGTTAACTATATGGGAGTTTACGTGGTTTCTCTCATATGTAACGAGAGTGCGAGCCGTTTTCCTTTTAAAGTTTCTTACAAAGGCCTTCCTCCCTTAGGCAGATAGTCCATATATGTGAAATAATTTTAAGGTATCCGAACACTTAGTTCGGAGCATTTTTTTTCAAAAAATGTATATTATAAACACTCTTTTTAATTAATTTTTTATAAAGCTTAATTATGGAGTATAAAGATTTAATATATACTATTATTATCTTGCAAAAATATTAAATATACATGAAATTTTAAGTAACTATTTGAAAAATTTGAAACATGCTACCTGGAAAACTCTTGCAGTAACATAAAAAAGGTCATACAGTAAATAAATTAGATGCTTTTATCTAAAGAATGACATATAATTTTAAGAATTGATTCAAAAACAAAAATTTTTCAGCTTAACAGGTAACAGTTTCAAAAACATTTAGAATATAAAGATTTTGGTACGTCATTTGCTAGATGTATACAATGTTTCATAAAAACAAAATAATAGTAATTTGATTTATCTTGCAGCAAGTAAGCAAGTTTTGAGAAAAATGCATTTACAATTTAAAATGCTATATTTGAATTATTATAAATCTTCACCCAGATACCTAAAACTCCCCAGATGTATAGGTTATACCTTCCTTTGGCTCAGCTTTATCTGTTTCTCTTTTTATAATCAGCCTTTTTTTTTCTCTCTCTCTCTAGCAGTTTTTACTATGGGGAGTGAGTGACATTTCGATTCATTAATTCGCTGCATGTCGAATTAATCTGTAGATTTCATATTCACCATGATGTATGCCTATACAGTTTATAGTATCTAATAAGTATCGTAACCCTCAGTTAAATTGTATAACAGCCACATATACCCTAAGAGTCTGTAATTCCACAAATAAATCCATCTTGCGTCTTTCCATATAAGCAATTTTGTAAGAGCTTCTGCTTACATAATTTCATATATTACAGGTTTAAGAATTAACTACATTCTTTGGCAGTGCTTTGGATTTGTCTGTGTACATTCTTTCTACTGACGCAGCTCGTTAATATTTACACCAGTTGTCTGGTCCAACTGGGCACTGGCCATGCATAGGTTGTTTAACACTAGAGCAGGTTTCAACAAATGGAATAGTTACTACACCTTGTAAGCTATGTTCCTGATTGCAATTCCATAATAATTTTGAAATAAATCAATAAAGACGTCTGTTGGTAAACGAAGTTGACGGGTTCACCAAGACCTTTCTGTTTTTCCTTCAATTTTCTAAGGCCGAAACTGCACTTCTGTATATGACCATTATGCATTCATACTTGGTGATACAGTTTAACCATAAATATCTTTCATATCGTAAATCACTTTCAAGAACATCTCCTGTTGATGACCAGCTTTTCAGTTTTAGTTTCGCTCGATGTAGGAACTGCTTTATTAGCATAATTTTCGATTTCCTTCGTATCACATATAAATTTGTTCCAAACACATTTACGTTTACAAGTAGAGCTTTGACTTTTTCTAATCACTCATCACAAGACTTTTTACTTTAAAATTTTTTAAAAATAATCAAAGGATAAGATAAATCTAAGTGTAAAATACAGTCAAAAGTCGTTGCGATTCCGGATTATCGATTTTTCCGGATTATAGATCATCAGTTTAAATCTCATAAGATGGCATGCAGAAATTCTAAAATTAAAAATATGAAACCGTAATTTATGAAATAAAGAACAATTATGATATAAAGGGTATCAAAATTTACAAAAAAAAAAAAGCTTAATATTTATTTGTTTACTTTATTAAACATTTCTT